GCTCGATACTTTATAAAAAGGCCATTCATACTTCGCAACGAGAGAAGGGCACCAAAGAATTTCACAACTGAGAATAAATAGAAAATGACAAGTGGATAGTTAAGGGTTTTTTTTTCTTTTTTTCTTCATGTGAGTTCTTGAATAAAAAAAGTTTTGAGGGTGTTTTTCTAATTTACTAAATTTCTCGTACCAGTTTTCTGAGAATCCAACCAAATACCAATACAGTGCCGAAATTGCAGAAATACCCAGTTAAATTCTTAGCATTTAGAGAGATTATTCAGATAAAAAAAGATTAAAAATTCAGCAAATGCGAGTTAAAAAGAAGCTAAAACGAAAGAACAAAATTGGAGCAGAACCTGCGTGACATCCTCGGCGATATTGACAGTGTCAAGCTCTTCTCTGTTGGCGTAGAGATAGGAGGAAGCTTTGGCAAACACGAGACCGTGCCGTTTTGCGAGCTGTCCTCCGAGAAGAGCTCCATTGGTGGAATTTCTGGGGATTTTGAAGGAAGCGAAACGGTGGCCGGGAGATGAGAAGGGAGGAGGAAGAGGAAGAGGAAGAAGCAGAGGAGGTGATAAAATAGCCATTGATTCAGAAAAAGGTTTTTGAGGGGTTTAGTTTAGATTGGGTATCGTGGGTACACTAACAACATACCGGGGGTAGTTGACGGTTTTGCCCTTCTGTTTCTTTTGATTTGGGACAGGTGCAGGAGAATAACTTATATAAAACAGATTCATTGTCATGTTGTGTATCGATTTAATAATATTTTATCATGTGAAAAAAATTTACACATAATTACGCATTATTGAACAAAAAATACTACGTTACTGTGAGCGCGCCTCATTGTATAAAGTGGTGTTCTTGATCTTAGGACAATCTGTATTGTTTTGTCCTTGTAATACACCCAAAATTTTAGGTTAGAGTTATTTGTGTGTATGTAGTCTCACTTTAGGCGTGTATTTTCGTTATAGGCAAGCTTGAGTTCTCAAGTCTACTTTTTTTACTAGTATATGCCCACATACAAAGTGTATGTGAATTTTTTTTTTTTTTTAAACGGGGGACAACTGGCGACAAGCCATAGTTATCCACCCATTCTGAGGGCCTGGAAGACTCACAGAGGCATTTCAACCTCCCCCTGGACACAAGTCTGCCTTCTACACCAGCAAGCAGCAACGGGTTTCGAACCCGAGATCTCTAGTTTTTAGTTTTAAGAAAGCCTTATAATTCGCTCTTTACCACTAGACCACCAACTCGTGGTTGTGTATGTAAAATCTTTTATTTTTGTTTTTAAAGTTGAATGAGAGAAAAGAGAGAGAGAGAGAGAGAGAGAGAGAGAGAGAGAGAGAGAACGCGACAGTGGAGAGAGAGGGAGAGAGGTTTAATATTATTATTATTATTATTATTATTATTATTTAATTAGAGATGTTAGGTGATGCTTAAATAAAAATTAGCAAAATTTTGTTTTATAAAATTACGTTACTGTCCTTAGCTTTCTTGTTATGATAGAAGATTAGATAATCTTTACCCTCCTTTGAATGACAAAGAAGAACCTATTTATATGTAATTTAGATAACTTCTAGAAAAAGAAATAAATACGTTCCAGAAAAGGAAATAAAACAAAACCCTCAAATGTACCGTTACACACTCGATGGATTTCTTAACCGTTAAACTAACGACTTTTTTAAAATTTTACAGCAGATTACTGCCAATTTGTTAAAACCCAAAATTGAAATTAATTGATCCCGATTCTCCTCAATCATTCCCATATGTCCAACTTCAGTGCTTTCTTCATTTCGCCGTTTATATAAAGACAAACATACAACTTTAATTAGATTATATTGTCGATCGAACAAAACATCCAAATCGAAATGACCGTTAGGCTAACGACTTTTCAAAATTTTGCGGCAAGCCATTGCTAAATTGTTAAAACTCAAAATTGAAATTAATTGTTACGATTCTCGTCAATCATTGCCATATTTCTAACTTCTCAGCTTTCTTCGTTTCACCATTTATATCAGGCAAACATACAACTTAAATTAAAGGAAGACATTGGATGTGATTCCTAATTATCAATACATTTTTACTGAAGTCTTATTGGTTTTTAATTTTTGATCGAAGTCTCTGACATTAATGTAATAGTTTATTTCTATGTATGCTACTATTGTGTAAAAATCGAATTCTCTGACATTAATGTAAAAATTGAAACTTATAGTTGTTCATATTAATGAGATTTTAAATAAAAACCCATAATTTGTGGGATTAAAAATATTAAAATATAAATTATACTATTGTGTGTGTATATCATGGGTACATTCATCACAATAAACAAAAAAATTATTGTACCAAAACATGGGTACATTCTTCAAAACCACACAAAAAAAAGTAATAAATATTAGGCTTAATAACATTAGTAAGTATTTTCAATGAAACTTAACATGGATATATTCTCAAATCAAAAGAAAAGAATGTACCCATATAAGTTTAAAAATGGATTAGAGAAATATTAAATAGATTTTATATATAAAAAAGGATACATTTTACATATAACTGTTTGGACACGATTTTACACTATCGGCCCGAATAATCGAAGTCGTTAAATAAGTATAATTTTAGACCGTTGAATAACAAAGTGGTTGAAATGATTATATTTTTTTTAATTAAAGGATAATATTATGATTTTTATCATAATTATCTTTTAATAATAATTTACTAGATGTGTATGTCCAAGCTAGAAACATGATAGCACAATTCAAATAGATTTGGATGTTTGGAATGTGAATGTGTGGGTGGGATCAGTTTGGTTGACTGACAGATTCAAGTGTGCTGCAAATTGGTTATTATTCATTTAAACTATGGTGATAATTAGTAAATAAATGAGTTTGGAGTTGACTTAGACAGCGGAAGGTTGTTTTGCGTGCATGGACAAAAATTATACAGTGTTTATGGCGGCAAAAAAACACTACCGAATATTCTTGGCAGGCTGCCAAGAATCTTGTCAAGCAAATTGCATCAGGTTGGAACTCGTGGGCTTTGAAAAGATGGAAAAGATGGGATCAAGTTTGAACTTTTTGATAAGTGCATGATTGCACTTTGGTTCCAGCACGTGGAGATCATCATATATTTGGATAATGCTGGAGAAAATAAGGAGAAAATAAGATGATGATGGAGATTTTAAATTGGTTGGATAGTTGCATGATGAGTCCGATCCACTCCAAAAAATAAAAAAATATCATGTAATGCTCAGGGATCAATGCAGCACGTTCTTATAAATACAAAGGCAGTAGCAATGGGAAGGATCCTTCTTCAATTTAACACACAAACTACTCTAAATAAATTCTTGCTCTACGTGAAACCTCTCAAACACTTTGAGATTTTTGTTCTTTTTCACCAACATATCTTTAGTTTGGATAAACAGTACTGTGAAGGCAACTGGCGAACATCTTCAGTTTGGATAAACAGCATTGTTGCCGTAGAATTTGCCGACCGCGGAGCACCTTCAGTTTGGATAAACAGCACTAAGTCAAGGTCGATTGGTTACCTATCCAAGTCTCAACCAAGAAGGATTTTCGAGTCCTTATTTGCAGAGGCCATTTCATTAGCCTTCTCGACGAAATGAGGTGTTGCAGAATTATTGGGCTCGACACATTGAACGTTGAGTTGTTTATGATTGGATATTCGCAAGTATGTTTTAGAGTTCGGCATTTTGACGGCAGAACCACATTCACCATCAAGACATACATCTCTTTTGAGTATTTGTGTTCGTATAGCTTGGTACCAGTTTGGCGTGCTTATATTCTTACGAATATAATCACCGTGATTGAACCCGTCACCGACGATCTGTGAACTTTGTAGAAGTAGCAGCCTTGTCTTCAGGCTCGAGAACCCAAGGGCCGAGACGTGTTTCCTCGCCCGCAATTGCAAGATCAAGAAGTCAATAGCGTTTTCGACGCAACATCAACAAATTTTACTCATTGGTCGAGCTCGGCTGACGAGTTGGCACGCTCTGCACACAATCGAATGACGTAGTTAGCTTATTAATTACTCGGACTGCATGCCACGTAGGTTAGTAGTTTTTAGGATCAACAATAACAAATTGCTATATTTAAGAATAGGTACTTTTTAAGATTAAAAAATTGCAAAAAAAATTACATGAATAGGTGCATAAAAGATTAAAAAATTGAAAACATTTTATAAAAAGCTAATGGGTAAAAACTTATTCTAATTTTTTATTTATTTTGGAAATGTTTTGAATTGAAAATTAGTTAGGAGTTTAAAGATGTGAGTATTAAAATTCTAAATCAATTTGTATTTAAAAAAAATTATGTAACTGACATGTAAATTCATCATTACATTAATGCTAGGGACTTGGATTAAAATCTGAAAATTAATTAGAATTCAATTAATGAACATTAGTAACTAGGGACCAAATACTAATTTTTTCAACAATTAGAGCAAGTTGGAAAGGAGTGACACGTGTCGAGTTCAACTGGTCTCACGTCATCCCTTTCAGTGTTCGAGCCTCTTCGGTGGGACTCCGTCTTGTTTTCGCTTTTGTTGACCAAAGAGCAAGTTGGAAAGGATGACACATGTCGAGTTCAACCGGTCCCACGTCATCCCTTTCAGTGTCCGAGCCTCTTCAGTCATCCCATTCAGTGCCCAAGCCTCTTCGGTCATCCCTTTCAGTGTCCGAGCCTCTTCGGTGGGACTCCGTCTTGTTTCCGCTTTTGTTGACCAAAGAGCAAGCTGGAAAGGATGACACGTGTCGAGTTCAACTGGTCCCACGTCATCCCTTTCAGTGTCCGAGCCTCTTCGGTCATCCCTTTCAGTGTCCGAGCCTCTTCGGTGGGACTCTGTCTTGTTTCCGCTTTTGTTGACCAAAGAGCAAGCAGGAAAGGATGACACGTGTCGAGTTCAACTAGTCCCACGTCATCCCTTTCAGTGTCCGAGCCTCTTCGGTGGGACTCTGTCTTGTTTCCGCTTTTGTTGACCAAAGAACCAAAAATGAGTCACATACCGGGCAGGAGAGGCAACTACGCGCTTGTCATTTGTTAGGGTTTTTGAGAAAACCAAAAATATATCCCGGTACGACGGCGTCCGCCACGACGGAGCAGCGGAGAAGCATGACAGCAATGGAAGAGATAGCTTCGAAGCTGAAGAAGGACCTGGATGACCACGTCGACTCCGTCAGGGTCTCGCTCCACGCCGCATTCGAAGGGCTCCGGGAGCGGGAGAAGGTGATCGGGTCTCGATTCGCTGTCTTGGAAGCAAAAGAGTCGGAATTCGAGTCGGCGATGGTGGTGAAAGGCAGGGAATTGCAGGGCATTGTGCGGGAGGTTGAAGAAGGTAAGTCCCAGTTGCAGTCTATTAAGTTATCTTTCGAAAAGTATTCGGTTGAAGAAGGTAAATTGGGAGAATTACAGAAATTGGTTAAGGGTATGGAAATGGAGTATTATAATATGCAACAACGGGTGAAACAATTATCGAAAGAGATTGAGTTAAAGGAGCAGGAGAAGGAGATCCGGTTCGCGGACTTGGAAGCCAAAGACTCGGAATTGAACTCGGCTCTGGCGGCCAAAGGCAGGGAATTTGAGGAACTTGTGCAGGAGGTTGAAGAAGGTACGTCCCTATTGCAGTCTGTTAAGTTATCTTTCGACAAGTATTTGGTTGAAGAAGGTAGATTAGGAGAATTACAGAAATTGGTTAAGGATAAGGAGATGGAGTATTACAAGACACAACATCGGATGAAAGAATTGTCGAAAGAGATTGAGTCAAAGGAGCGGCAGTTAAATGCGGTTAGGGGTAAGGTTGCGGATCAATGGAAAGAGTTTGATTTGAGAGACGACGAAATTAGAGCTAAGCAAATATTGATTGAGGAATACGACAAAGAGATGAAGTCAAGAGAGCATAAACTCGGTTTGATTGAGAAATTAATAGTAGAAAAAACGAATGTAGTTCAATCGAAAATGAAGGATTTGTGTGAACTTCAGAAGTCAATAGGGGTGTGGGACTGTAAACTTGAATTGGAACTTAAAAGACGTGTTGAGAAGGTCGAAAAACAATTTGAATCAAAAGCCGACGAACTTAATTTGACTGACGGGAGGGTCAATGATTGCCTCAATGAGTGTCAGTTGAAAGAAAAGAATTTGGATTCCCGCAAAAGGCATTTGGATTCAGTCGACAAGTTGATACAGGAATCTGTGAGGCAGCTTGAACAAAAGACCAAAGAGCTTGAATTGAAGCAACAAGAATTTGAAAAATCCAAAGAACATATTTGCACAAATAAATCGAAGGAGAAGACTGATATATGTCATACTCAAGTGAAGATTGAACAATCAGGAGATATCCCTGATAACATTGCCGTCCCTCCTTTTTGTGCAACCAATAATTCAAGAATCATTAGGGATGGTAGGAGCTTGCAGTTTTTCATGAATGATTATTTTAGGAGAACTGATTCAGTTTCTATCCAAGTTTCAGCCTGTCTTCAATTGTCATCAGACCCAGCAAAATTAGTTCTTGATGCTATGCAAGGGTTTTACCCTTCAAATTCGACTGTGGAAAACAGGGAATTTGATTTTGATTTGAGTGTAATTAGAAGGAGCTGTATTCATTTGTTAAAGGAGGTAAAGAGAGTCTCACCACAAATTAGTGAACAGGTCAGAGCAGAAGCAAAGAAGTTGGCGGGTGAATGGAGAGCTAAGATGACTGTGGCGGCTGAGAATTGGTTGGAGGTTTTGGGTTTTTTGTGGCTTGTTATGGCATATGACTTGAACTCTATTTCTGACAGGGAGGAGCTTCAGTCTCTTCTCAGTATAGCCGCTGATCATGAAAAATTGTCAGATGAATTGTACGGGATCCTTGACACCGCAGATAACACACCTGGTAATCAGTTTTCCTGTTTTATTAATTTTTCTAACTTATTTATATTTCTACCTGAATGTCCTTTTTTTTTCTATGCCTTGTAAAAATAAAAATCTAAAATATATTTTCTGATTGAATTCTCTAGGCTTGAAGATTTGTAAGGGTTTTTCTTGTATATTCCTATCCTTGTTAAGTAATAAGTCGAAATCTATATCAGTAACACTTGATGCGATCATGGGACGGGATAGGGTCATAGTTCTGTAAACGTTTTCGCATTATAAGATTGATTACATATAGCTGTCATAAAGAAACATTCTGAACCAGTGATGCAGTGCTTTACGGAATAGATAAAAATGAAAACTTATAGTTCTTGCATTGTGGAGTAGCGTTGGTCGCACTCCATATTGGATGTGCTTTATACATTTTCATTTTAGAGTAGCTTTCTGAAGTAGCCATGTACTTTAAGATGTCGTTGCAAGCAATGATAAAAATATTTGTTTTGTTGAATGTTTCTCTTTTTATGCTCTTTAATTTTAAGCAGACATACCTTAAAAGGTAGTTAGAAGCAATGATAGGTGTTGTTGTATATTAATATTGCATACAGTTTTTTCTTTATAGTTTTAAGAAGCAAATACTTTCTTCTTGTTGCTGGGCCTTTTTTTGTTTTTTTTTTTAATGTTTTTTAAGTGCCCCATAAAGCTATACTTTGATACGTTAAATTCAGAATTATTCACTCACTAACCTCTAATTCATTTTCCTTGTATTTTTCAATTGAATAGCGAGCAGCAACCTTTGTTCCTCTATCAAAACTGATAAACCAGAATCTCCGCTGGGAAAGAATGCTGCAACTTGTTCTTCTCCAAATCTTGAACTAACTGCCACCACAGATGCTAGGAATTTGCAGGGGGGTCCAACTTGTTCTTCTCCAAATCTTCGTCAAACTGCCACCACAGATGCTAGGAATTTCCAGGGGTTATCAAATGAACATTCTAGTGGGAATCACTCAATACAGAATGAATTTTTACAGATTGACAAGTTGTTTTCTGTGTTAAATGGAGAAGAGTTAGTAAATTATCTCGGGTTGATTTCGCAGAATAAACAGGCCCTAGAATATATTTGGAGTTCTGGTTGTGGAGATAAGATCCCTGGTAAGTTTCTTGAAAATTTAGCTTGCATGGTTGTTAGTATTTCTCTTACCATGGCTCTTGCTTATTTTCGGAGTTTTGGTAATGGGATGATTTCTTAGGAAAAGGTTTTAAGCTCTTATTCACGTTCTTGCCATGCTGATCAACTGTATTTTCCTTCCATAATTGTTATGTTCTAGCTAGTTTATTCTATTATAGGCTTTCTTTCGTTTATGCATTTGCTAGCATTACCTTATATTCGAGTTTGGTTGGTGATCTCCCCTTGAAGCTTATCTGGGGCAGTTGATGAAAATCCTTCAATTTTTACTTTATGTGCCGCAGATGCTATTCCGACTCTTATTGAATGGGGGCAACGGATTGAGGCTGTTAGGGTTATTTGCACCTTCAACTTAATTGACAAGTTTCCCCCGGGACCCCTCTTGAAACAACATGTGGAGATTGCGAGGAAGCGTTTCCAGTCACTTATCTCGAAAACAAAACTACTTGGTAACGAGGTAAATTAGCTCTTCTCTGGACATACAATATCTGCTTTGCAAATAAATAATTGTTGCTGCGGCCATCCTCAATGTAAATATGCATCCATCTATCGATGCTAAATTACTTTTGTTTGCAGATTAAGGCTGTAAACGGAGAAATAGCTGATCTAAGAGCTGTGATTGAATGCATTAAAGATTACGACCTAGAGTCGGAGTACTCCCCCCAGGCTATTGAAACAAAAATAGCGAAGCTGCAGAAACAAAAGGACGAGTTGATACAGAAGCGTCTGGCGCCATGTCACAAGGTTAAACAACCGCGGAAAAAGAAGAATAAACGCACTGCCAAGTTTCAAGCACAACAGTTTAAATCTAAACGTCAGCGGGCATCAATATCAGCTTCCCCACCACATCCAAAACCAAATCCCACCCCTGGATATGTATCGCCGTCATATTTGCCGCATGAAAACAGCAGACACCCCTGGAAACGTCAGCGGCCAGAAATATCAGCTGCCGCACCACATCCAATACCGCCGCTGTCATATTTGCCGCTGTCATATTTGCCGTACGAAAACATTCGACACCCCCGGCAATTTGGTATGGTTGCCAACGATGTAGGCATTTCGACAGGAACTCGTTACCATTGCGACGGGTTAGAGCATTTGGAACGAGTTGTCCCAAGTATTCACCCGAGAAGAAGAACGTGGATGTGATCAAATCAGAGATGAATCCAAGTCCCCTGTTAGTTATTTTGGTTAATTTTGGAGCAACCAATCAATCAGATCTTGCAATTTGTTAGATACCAAGTGATTGGGAGATCTGCTTCACAATTTGTACAGCAGTAAGAAGTAATATCATTTTAGTCCCTCACTTTTAAAATCAATTAATGTCTTCCCTAACACTCATTACTGTACATTAATTTGGTCATTCAGTTAAGATTTTATCAACTATTCTATTAGTTTATATGTGGGACCCACAAATCCAATGAAATGGTTACACGTGAATTACACAAAATAAGGAGCAAATGATCCTTGACATTGATTCAACTCCTTATTTTGGTTCTTGAGTTTAAAAAATTGATAAAGTTGATCTCTGACTTTCAATACCGCATATCAATTTAATCATTCTGTTAAAGTTTGGCCAGCACAAGTCCCTTAACTTTCAATAAATGTCAGTCAATAGGTTCACACCATCTAATCATCAAATGAGTTCGGACCATTCATTTTACATCATTTGATCCATATTAATCATTTTTACTAGCCTACTTTACACAAATCGAAAATGTAGATCTCTCTTCAAAGGCTGCATCTCTGGCCCTTGGGGGTGAGTTATTTTAAGGTTGGTGTAATAAATTGTCACTTTTACTTCAGCGGTGGTCGTGCCCTGAATCCTACAAGTATATTAACCGTACGATCAGACTACATACGAAAATGCGCATCCAACGGTCCAAATCAAATTAACCCCCTTTATGTTTAGAAAGAAATTTAAAGATCTTTGTCAGTTTTCATTATCCATAACAGTTACCCACTCTCAGTACTATCATTAATTCCACTCCTGTTTTCAATATCGCCACTCTTATCTCTCCCAGCTCTGAGCTCCTCCAATGGCCACCGTCCTCCGAACTCCACCTTTACGAGCACCGTTCGCACCGCTTTCCTCCACCATTTCGCCCAACCCTCCGAGAACTTCATATGTTTCGTGCGGACAAGGCTCGAGCAGCACGGCGCCGTTTCTCAGTCTCAGCTCTCTTCGGTCATCTCACTCGGCGTCCGTACGGTTCCTCAAGTTCGCGCCTTTAGCTTCCCGCCATGAAACTCTAAGGGTCGAGACGGCGGAGGAGATTCGAGAGCTCAATGAGGTCGAGGTATTATTTACTTTTTTCTTAACAAGTTTCAGAATTGGTTTTTTGTTTTCTTGAATTGAAGTTCGTGAGTCTGTTCGTTGATTGTTGATGAGGATTTGATTTCGCAACGAAACACGATTGAAAAATGCAATTAATTTTGCTACAAATGCTGCTGTATTTAATCAATTCAGTAGAGAGCCGTAAGAATTTGCATTACATTAATTGAGTGTATAGATAGCGTTGGAAGTGAATTTTTATGGTTGTGTAGTAGCTTTGATCAAAATTTGGAAGCAATAACGAGAATTAATCACTCAAAACAACAACAACAATAACAACCAAGCCTTGTCCCATGAAGTGGGTTGGCCGTATGAATCCTAGAAAGCTGCTGCGCTCGGTTTTAGTAGCTCGGTTTTGCGCCAAGTCTTCTGTTAGCTCCAGGTACTCTATATGACTGATGCCTAAAACTACGTTTAATTGTGGTGGTGAAATTTAAAAACAAAAGGCACAAAATCATTGACACCGGAGGCAGTTCTGAGTTATGGACCGAGATTTTTATAGCTTTGAATGATTCACCTTACTACAAGGGAACCATTGTCCTTTCTTCTGCTTCCGCATTTTGAAGCATCGAAGGCTTGATATCCATCCTATAAATAGCTCTTATGTTCCAAATGATTCATGTTTCTCCTTTGTGTTCTGATTGTTTTAATAACATCTAAAGAGATGATAGTCTAACAATTTTTTGTGACAGTGGCTCTCTACAACGCCTGATTAGAAACATCTACAAGATATTTTTGTGGCTTTCTTAGTCTAAATTCCGTTAACAATTGTTTTTACTAATATGTTGTTCAATCGTGGGTGAAGGCAGATACTCCGTGGAGAACTAGCAGTGGAAACTCCTGCCTCAACAATTTTGGAGAGTAATTTCCTATTCACTACAAATATTGATCTTCACATAGACATGATACAAATTGTTAACTTTTATGGACTGCTCGAAATTTCTTTAACATGATATCATTATGTACCTAAATGTTTCATTTGTGTGGATCACAAACAACTTTAGTTGATTTATTATTTACTTTTTACTTGGTTGTTGGGAATGATCTTTGTGATATCATCATCTTATTGCAGAGATTTTTGGGAACCTTTCGGTTACCGGGGATGTAAAATTCATGAAGAGGCCATATGCTTGGGTATCTGCATTCTTGGTTGGACAAAGCTTATTGCTGATTTCTGCTCCAATGGCTCAATCGCGTGATATTATTAAACCAAATGCGGTTTATGAGACCGGGGAGTTATTTGAATTAGGAATCCAGCTATCATACTTGCTACTATTGTTAGGTTTTCTTGGGGTTGGAACTTTCTTTGTGATCCGTCAAGTGCTTGTACGTAGAGAACTTGATCTTTCTGCCAAAGAATTGCAGGTATGAGCCTTGCATTTTCCATTATTTACTGTTTTCAACATACTTTGCTCCTGCCTTGACACTTACTACACATCCTATACTAGACATTAAATTCTTTAATGTTTTGTCTGCTGTTATGGACATTTGACAGAGGCTGTCTACAACCGCCAACCGGTTACTCACCTTATAATTTTTTCTATCTAAATACCAGGAGCAAGTAAGAAGCGGTGATGCTGATGCAACTGAGCTTTTCGAACTTGGAGCAGTGATGCTGAGGAGGAAAATTTATCCTGCTGCTATTAAGTATTTGGTTCAGGCAATTGAGAAATGGGATGGGGACGACCAAGATCTTGCTCAGGTATGATGAATTCTCAGATATATTTGCACTTCTATTGTCTAAACTAAAGCACATCATACTGAATCCAGCAAACAGATGGCTTAAGAATTGTGTTATAAAAATACTTGCGACTGTTTAATTGTTGTATTCCAATTTCAAGATTTTGTGGTATTGCAATGCTTGCTACTTGGTTCCGTTGTTTGTGTTAGTCCTTCCCGGAGTTGCATCTGTTAAAAGGGCACTAACTTGTCATTCTGAGTAATGCATATTCAGTGCTGTTGTATGATTGTATCTGTTCGTGTGTTCAGGGTGTCTACACGTCCCGAGTTTCACATGATTTCTTTACATGTTTTGAACTGTAATCCCGTCCACCCATTTAAATCAGATTGTATTTTTCTTTACATCATATGTTTGGGTTTGGATTATGAATTTTCTGATATTGGTTTCCACATTTCCTATATTTGAATAGGTTTACAATGCCCTCGGTGTCAGTTATGTCCGTGAGGGTAAACTTGCTAAGGGAATTACGCAGTTTGAAACTGCCGTGAAGCTTCAACCGGGCTACGTCACAGCTTGGAACAACCTAGGTGATGCTTACGAAAAGAGGAAAGACTTTAAGGCTGCACTGAACGCATTTGAAGAAGTACTACTGTTTGATCCGAACAACAAGGTAGCAATACCACGGCGGGAAACTTTGATGGAACAAGTGAAAATGTACAGAGATGTTCCGGTAAAAACAAAGGAGAGATCATCTGACAATATGCGTTGACGAGGATACTATCAGCAGCAGCTTATGTAAGTTTTGCTTGGCATTCTCCGAAACATTCAATGGTTGTTGAGTTATCATTTCGTTTTTCCACGGTCCAAGATTTAGGCCTGCCTTCGATAGTCACATTTTGTATTCTCTAGCATCTAAGTCTGTAATTTGATTTGGAAAACTTGATTGTTGCTATCCCTACACCCCTTTTTACCTTCTATACACCATTAATTTTTGTTTTTTGATTTTTTCAATTCATTCGACCTGACGGTCTGAAATTGCATGTATTCAATACAATCTCTATCTGACGATTAGATAATAATCCCTGTGATACATGTATTTAATACAATCATCATCTAACCGTCGATATAGTGATTGTCTTAAATACAGGAGCCAAATCCTAAAATCTTGTATATGCCCCACCAATTTGAAAGGTAAGATTGTAAACCTAAGGAGATTACCATATAGTAACGTAGTGGCAATAATCTGCTTTATAAGAGAGAACTAGTGGAGGTTTGCTTTTAATGAAATTTTCTTTATGACAAGGATAACATTTTTAGTGAGTTAAATAATTAATTATTAGGGAGAAAAAGAATCGGTAAGAATCAAATCTGCACCAGAATGCATAGACATGATTGTTTTTCATTATTTCAACATAAATTAGTCATCCTGAGGAGTTTAGACTGGAAAACACAATGTATTTCAATAAATTCAGATACATTTCAATTTCGTCCTAAATTTGTTTGGAAATTTCGGATTTCAATTTTTGGACGTCGAATTTGATTAAGGTGCTACAAAGTCGAAAAATATTGGATTGGAAAGCTCAAATCAAAAATTCCAATTCAACTTGCCCCCCTTGTCGAAAACTATCTTCTTTTTTAAGTGCTTTGAAACTTGAATAATCGCATATTGGCCCTCCAACTTGATTGTAATGTCAGATTGAAACCACTAATTTATGTAAATTTGACCACCAATTTTTATTTCCTGCACACATTCGTCCTTTCAAGTTTTCATGCAAAATGGAAAAAACAGACCACGGTCTACATCCAGTTGGCCAAACAGAGCAGTCCCCATGAAGGGAATAGAAACCCAGAAAAATCATACACATTGACAAGAAATGCAAGCCTATTCACCGGTACGATCATCCAAACGATCATTTTGCCAGTTGGTTGCTCGAAACTGTTGGAAATTCAAATAAAAACAGTCTGTAAAAGGTTGCTGCTAGCTGGTAGTTTCTTTACAGGTTGTATCCACACATGCTGCAACTACAAAGACTAAAGTTTCCTCCATGTGCTAGCTGAAAGTGTGTTGAAAGACAGCAGAGATGTGAGCTGTTGTAGCTGTCCAAAGTTCACATGATCTGTTTGCATGTGTTGTCTTATTGTTTATTCATTTTCTGCTTGTATAAATAAGCCTCCTTGCTAGGCTTTAGAATCATCCAATCCGAATCCCACTTCCAATTGTGAAGAAGCTTGTAAGCTTTCTTATTCCATCAGTTTGTAAACCTTTTGTCATATATCAAAATCCAAGTGTTTTGCCAAAGCTTGTTGCTTCCCTCCTTTCTCTATTTCTTTCTTTGTCCAATTTTATTGAGAGTGCAAAGTGAGAGGTGTGATAGAGTTTGTAAACTTATCACCCACATATTTTGGTATTGAGTAAGCAAACTCCGGTGAATACCAACAGAAACAACACAACGACAAGGACAAAATGCGTGTAAGAATGTCGGATGCAAGTGACCAGATAAAAATATTATGAGTTTACGGATGACAACCTTTTCTTTAGAAATGAAATATGACTACCAACTGAATTCTATCCTGAGTAGGAGCGAAGAACGAATCGGTTTTGAAGGCGTAGAACTAACTTATCCAATTTAATTTTCTAATGTTGGAGCAAATGAAGATGTTTGCACAATGTTGTTTCTTGTAGTTTAGTCCTGTGTGGTTGTTAATAGTCAGAAAATCTGCAGAGACAGACAGTGTTAATTCCCCCGTCTTACCAAAAGTTACTTGGTGATGGTATCCTGCTTAACCCCGTCTCCTTCTGAGAAACTGTTCGAGAGAATCGTCTAGACTTGGGTAACTTCATTCTGATAGCCGGAACTCTGCGAACAACTGCTTGCCATGTCATCTGGACAGCATCGCCCTCCCTTGACGGAAACTGAAACTCATAGAATTTCTGAACCTCCTGCAACTTCTTCCACATTCGCGTCCACTCGTCCCTCCCAATGTTCCTGGTGATGTTTACGAGAAAGTTCTGCTTAAGAGCTTCCCTTGTTCGAACAAATATGCAGAACTCAGAGTAGTCAAGCACGTCCTCGTACGGAAGTTCAATATCATCACTGATGATGACGGGGATACAGTGGCTAGCAATAGCGTCAAAGAGGCGATTTGATGATGGGGTGTCACCGGCTATGTTGAGGCAGAATTTGGAGGTGTGCATACCCTGAACATGTTTTGAACACGCCCAAACGTGAAATGAACATCTTTTTCATCTTGTAGAAGATATAACAACTCTTGCCGAACAAAGCCACCCTGAACATGTGGAACCGGAAAGTCAAGAGCCGTGAGTTAGGAATGAACAAACAACCTAGACCAAAACAGAAAACGAAAGACAGAGACAGAAACAAGGCAAAAGTTGACAACATAAACAGTGAATGAACCAAAACTGGAAGCTTAAAAGAATGAGCTAACATTTTATGTTGCATTCTTTCGGCATAATGCATCTCCTTTTCCGCAGCAAACTATATGAACATGTTAACATGTAACTCTCAAATCCTGATTCGCCTCCGATATGTACACCATATCTGGAACCCGCGAAAGGTAAAAACAATAAATTTATACTTGAACCTATGCAACTAAGATTGCTGTCTTGACCACTGCAACATATGCAGATTTAGAACTAGATATTATTGATTTTACATCGAAACGCATCTATGTTGAAGGAAATTTCTTTGATGAGTTTCTAGATTTAACCTTGATCTGTTCAGATTGGTAGTCAGAATTAACACAATTGTGAGGCACAGAAAAGGAAATAAGGAAGAAAAAAACATTAGCTTTCCTGTGACTATACGAGTATGAGCAGACAATTCTGAAGAAACAACCAACAAAAGTAAATAAAGGGTAGAGAATACGTACATCCTTTCGATATATCAAAAGTACAGCAAAGTTGGCCGACTATCAAAAGTTGACGAGTCATTCACATAGGATTTGATTACATGCTTGTAGGGGGCCAATAACGTCTTTCTCAACATTTGCTACAATTATTATAACTTTTAGAGCGGCCTCATATTTGTAGCCGTTGGATAAAATTTCAACGGCCCGATAAGCTTGGTCAGGAGGATCCCCACCCTTTGCTCAGGAGAGGATCATGATCCGTATGTTTTGATATGGGTCTAATGTATTACACAGTCATAGGTAGGGTCTAATAAGTAGAGCAATTAAAGTGTTCATAATTTGAAAACAAAATTGCACCAACTGTCGTTAAATGTTTTATCATGACTCTTCCAGAATTAACATGAAATTTTAAGTTACACATTAAATCTCATCATTTCATAAAAAACTGTACAAGTACTTATATGCCAGGTAATTTAGACTGTAAAAGTACTTATATAATAGGTAGTTTAGATTATAAAAGATCAGTTGAAATCTAAGTTTATGCCGACTAATATTATAATACGATAGGTAGTTTAGCTTGTACAAGTACTTATATGACATATAGTTTAGACTGTAAAAATACTTATATGGTAGTTTAGATTGTAAAAGATCAGCTGAAATCTGAGTTTATGCGGACTAATAGGGTACCTAAGTTGAAAAAAAAAAATAGAAAATTAATATAACTAATAGCAAGGCCCCCCAAGAGATTTATAGGCGTCCGAAAATTTAGAAATGTCCTAAATTAATTTTAGGAAATATGTGGTGCGAATATAATGACTCTAACTTTGGCTTATAACACACAGTTTTTTGTGAAAAAATAAATTTTGAAATTTTTAGCTTTAAGAAATATTTTGCGTTGGAGTTAAGGAAAATATTGCAAAACTTTTGGATGTGATCCTACCAATTATTAGGTTCTAAAACTATTTTTTATTGATTCTTAAAGTGCGAAAATAGAAAAATATATTTAAATTTAGGTTTTAAATCATTGATTACAAGTGTTTAAAAATGAATTATAATATATTTTGCATGGAAAAAAAATATTTTGAAAAACACGAATATGATGGTTTGTTGTTATGGTAAGAGAAATAAAAGAAATACTAACAAAATAAAAAATAAAAATAAAAAACTGAAAAAAAAATTTGCAAAGAGAGGGATCGGTATGAGGGTAGCGACTTTTAAAGAATTAAGTTGCTAAATTTATAGCGATTGTACCCAATGATCATCGCTAGAAAAGTACCGATCGTATCATTTTCTTTTCATTTTTTTTTCTTTTTTTTTCTTTTTTTTCTTTTTCCATTGAATAGTTATAGTAGAGTAAAATAGTAATCACATTGCAAAGTATCAACCTAACAACAAAAAGTGCTGACACATGGAGTCCTATTTATGGACCTAAATAAAATAAAATAAAAAACTAAAAATTGGATTAATCTAATTGTTAGGCCATAAAATTAGGAAATGAATCCTTTCCAGATCTCTTCTACCAAATTCGCCCAATCACCTAATTCGGACTCTTGAAATTTAGTCCAACGGCTAAAGTGGTTATAACTTTTAAAGGGGCCCTCTGTTTATAGACGTTGGATCAAATTTCAAGGGCCAAATTGATTGATTTGGTGGATTTGGTGGAAGGGAACCAGAGATGATTTCTTTCCATAAAATTGGACCTATTTCAAGTTAGTTTATTTACACATAACAGATTTGTAAGGAAGAAGTTAATTTAAACCACATATTAATGAAACTCTTTTCGTCAACTATAAAAGGGTGAAAAAACATTTTTGTCTTCTATCACAAAATAAAATTATGGACAATAAAGTAATTTGCACAAACTAAATTTTACAGTTGTTTTTAAAAGTATCATCTACATGTAATCCTAACAAATCACCTACAAGAACTCCGAATTTTTACGGGTGGATTGTTTTATGAAACTTCAAATTTCTATAGCACTTATTTTCAAAACTTCAAGTTCGAGTTTAAGTACGAACTCTAGGTTCATGATACCTACAAACAAACATACATATGTAGTGAACGGAAATAGCTTCGGGATCTATGTGTGAAAAGAATGATCGACGACCTAAAATATGGGGCTGTCGTGGCTTGTAGGCCCAAAAGAGTGGTTGTTGGGCAACAAAGGAGAAGTAAATGGGTTAATAGATTATATACCCAACTATTGGGCTAAGAAGGAAAACTGATAAACAAGGCCTAACCTATGGGCTTGTTATTTCATGCGAGCCAAAAAAAAAAAACAAGCACAATAGAAAAAAAACAAGTGGGACGGTTTGGTGCATATGCCAATTGGGTTGCGGGTCGACTGCAGGCAGCCCAGGTCCGTAAGAAAAATGATGCAAAACGGTTTTGTTTTGGACCTTAGAGTTTTGGAGCAGGAACGACTTGGTGGCTCGGGCAGCGCGACTTCAAGCTATGGCTCCCATGCGTGTAGGGTTTGAAAAATCCCATTTTTTTTCTTCTCTTATTCACGCATATTCAATTCACCACAATTATAAGAACAATAAATTTAAGCTGAATCTACAATTTGAAAAAAGAAAAAACAAACGTAAATTAGAGTTCATGGTTCATGGTGAATGTTTCATGCAATTATTGCTGAAAAAATATCGAAATTAAAACCATGTTATATAGATTACTTGGATTGCTTAATGAATATTGTGAACGGCTTTGTAGTAAACAAACATTCAGTTCCTTAGCTCAGTGTCAGGAACGTGTTTAACAATGCGTTGTGGCCTAAATTTAACTGAAGGAGAGAGAGGGGGGCAGCTGCATAAAGAGAAAAGATAGGCTTGGGAATTACCATGATGATATTTCTCCGTACCTTGTGCCTTTTTTAAGAAAAATAATGGGGTTACTTGTCTACAAGTAATACAAAGTTGTGCCTTTTTGTTTTTTGTAATTAATTCTTGAATTGTTTCTCACTAACATTAGTAGTTGTTGAGACTATAAATACTCAAATAATGATTTCTGTTGTGAAATTTGTATGAATGCCCACATAAAGAAAACAACCACATATGGCTAAGGGTGGAAAGTGGAAGAATAGAAGTCAAAATTATATTGCTTAAATAGTAGAAGTTTGGTTCTTATTAGTTTGGTGTGTAAGCCTTTTACATGCATGAAAAGAGACGTATGCTTGTATCGTATGAGCAGTACAAAAAAATGAAAAGCAGAAAGTAATAATCATGTTTTCCTCATTTGTCCATCTCTACGTTCATTTCTCTTATCTGATACTAGTGAAGAAAATAAACAGAATAATACATAGCTCCCGTTTCACTTCAATCTCTAACAACTCTGATAATAACATGTTTCTAAATGCTCAAGGTAATCATTATTATAAATTGGTCAAAGTTCCAAAAGACTCCAAAACAAATTTATCGAACACTCTAATGCTTTAACACATTCAATCACATATATTAAACATTAATCCGTTCTATCAACTATATTTTTCTCTCAAGTGAGGCATAAATATATATATATATATATATATATTATATGGCTCTTTACAACCAAATATATCTCAGGAAACTAAACCTAGTTAGAACAGAACAATTTTTTTTTTAGTTTTTACATATATTAAAATAAACGGTTAAACGGATACCCGTTTATAACAACGGGTAATACCCATAACCGTCCATTCAAATTTCATGGGTAAACGGTTATACCCATAACCGTTTATTTATCTGAATGAATACCTATAACCATAACTGTCAAATTTAAATGGATGGATAACCGCGGTTACCCATAACCAATGGGTATTTGCCCATCCCTAGCACTAACCTGTCATTCTGAGTATTGCATATTCAGTGCTGTTGTATGATTGTATCTGTTCGTGCGTTCAGGGTGTCTGCACATCCCGAGTTTCACATGATTTTGTAGTCTATGTACCCTTTACATGTTTTGAACTGTAATCCCATCCACACATTTAAATCAGACTGTATTTTTCTTTACATCACATGTTTGGGCTTGGATTATGAATTTTCTGATATTGGTTTCCACATTTCATATATTTGAATAGGTTTACAATGCCCTCGGTGTCAGTTATGTCCGTGAGGGTAAGCTTGCTAAGGGAATTACGCAGTTTGAAACTGCCGTGAAGCCTCATCCGGGCTACGTCACAGCTTGGAACAACCTAGGTGATGCTTATGAAAAGAGGAAAGACTTTAAGGCTGCACTGAACGCATTTGAAGAAGTACTACTGTTTGATCCGAATAACAAGGTAGCAATACCACGGCGGGAAGCTTTGATGGAACAAGTGAAAATGTACAGAGATGTTCCGGTAAAAACAAAGGAGAGATCATCTGACAGTATGCGTTGACGAGGATGCTATCAGCAGCAGCTTATGTAAGTTTTGCTTGGCATTCTCCGAAACATTCAATGGTTGTTGAGTTATCATTTCGTTTTTCCACGGTCCTAGATTTAGGCCTGCCTTCGATAGTCACATTTTGTATTCTCTAGCACCTAAGTCTGTAATTTGATTCGGAAAACTTGATTGTTGCTATCCATACACCCCTTTTTACCTTTTATACTTCATTAATTTTTGTTTTTTGATTTTTTCAATTCATTCGATCTGACAGTCTAAAATTGCATTATTCAATACAATATTTATTTGACGATCAGATAATAATTCCTGTAATACATGTATTTATACAATTACCATCTGGCCGTCGATATAGTGATTGTCTTAAATACAGGAGCCAAATCCTAAAATCTTGAATATGCCCCACCAATTCGAAAGGTAAGATTGTAAACCTAAGGAGATTACCATATGG